CGGTTTGTGTACCTCTGAGACCCATTGAGCTATACTGGGGGGTATCCACGCGACACTCAGAGTCTCTCATACCAGGTTGGTCCATGGGTAGAGGTCTGACGAACACAGTCTCCTGGACCTCCAGGTTGGGGGTTGGAACATGTATGGCGACGTGTTCCGTAAAAATAGTAATTTGCTTGCATTTCCAGCCCGACACCTCTGCCTTGTGGTTAGGCTTTTGAGCCGAAGGCTTTGGTTGAGGACCCTAATCGTCCTCTTAGGTGTGGACCCGTAAAAATAGTAATGTGCTTGCATTTCCAGCCCGACACCTCTGCCTTGTGGTTAGGCTTTTGAGCCGAAGGCTTTGGTTGAGGACCCTAATCGTCCTCCTGTTTAGGTGTGGACGCTCTGGCAGTATCCCAGCCCTCATACAACCACGGCATTCACAAATATATTGTGAAGAATTCGTTGACACCACAGTGTTAGTCTTGTGGTGACTGGCATCACATCCGCTTTTGTCTGTTCCAAAAACACCAGTGCCAGAAATGTCGTCGTATTGGCCATAAGAAAAGAAAATCTAGCCGACTGATCACCGAAAGGGCGAACTTAAAACGGCTCTTACATAACAACAGAAGTGATGTCGTCGATCGAAATCTGTCTTCGTATCATTCAGGGTGGATCTCGCATCCCATGGGAAATTTATCACACTTTGCGCGAATAATCATTCTATCCGTCTTCAGCTCAATACAGCCTCAGACATCACACGGATCTCATGTCCGATTTGGAATGCAATTGCACGCCATTATTGTCTGCTGCCAACCATTGTACAGACTGCTTCCATCAACAACTTGCCGCTTAATTGCGAACTCACTTATGATGTATCTTTTAACAATGGGCAATTCACAGGTATCTGCTACCTCACAAATTGTTCAGATCTGAATTTGCTTGGTCTTGATTGGATAGATCAGTTAAATCTTTTTGTGTCCCTCTACAGTCCGTAGGCGACAAACGTTCATCTCACTCATACAAACATTTTCCAACAACTTACGCGCATAACCTAATTAAAATTTTCCAGTGTTTTTAAGATGGTCTTGAAAATTGTTTTAAAGCCCAAGCCACATTTCACTTGAAACCCAATAGCAAACTTGTCTTCAGACGAAAACGCCATGTACTTTATGCGGCTTTTGTATCTACGGGTGCTGAACTCGGTCGTCTCCAAACATCGGGTGTTAGCTAGACTGTCAACTACTCTTCCTGAACAGCTTCCATTGTTGTGGTCAACAGAAAGAGCGAGAATGTCAGGATTTGTGTTGATTATCCAACGGGCTTGAATGCTGCATTCGATTCGCATCAGTATCCTCTCCCAGTTCCAGATCCGTCTACCAAACTCAGTGGTGGTACTTACTTCGCTAAACTTGATCTGACCGAAGCCTATTTACAAACCGAAGTTGCGAGTGACTCTAAAGACCTTCTAGCCAATAACAAGCACCGTGGTCTTTTCCAGTTCAATAATCTTTGGAGGAAAAACGGCGCCAGCCATATTCCAGCAGTTCAAGGACGCTGCGCTCAATGAGTGAACAGGCGTCGTGGCGTACTTGAATGATATCATCGTGGCAGCATCTGATCGGGAAAAAACTCCTTAATCGCCTAACTTCAGTACTTGATCAAATCCAGGAATACAGCTTAGATCTCCGGATGAGAAAACGCACGTTTTCTTTTACGTCTATCAAACATTCGGATTTTATTTTCGATAAATATGACCATTAGTCTGACCCGGACAACACTGATGCAATTCAGAGAATACCACCACCGACGGATCTTTCCTTGGGTTGGTGAGCTATTACAACACTTTTCTACCGGATAAGCACCGTTCCTTCTCAACCATCTCTTAAAAAAGGATGTTCCCTGTAACCGGCTGCTTCACTGTCAATAAGCTTTCGATACAGTTAAATCACGTTTATCAACAGACTTACACATTACAACCCATCTATGGGTATCATTCTAGTCTCAGAAGTCATTTCCCACGGATTTCCTGACGGACCTATAAGAGCCATCACCCATGCAATCCGACCTTTGACACTAGCCGAACGCAAGTACAGTCAAATAGGAAAAAAGCAATTGCAATCATAGTTGCCGTCAAAAAATTCAACAAAATGATTTACGGCCGCATTTCACACTCCTTACCGATCACAAGCCATTTGTCAGCATTTTCGGTTCGTAGGAGGGCGTTGCGGTACATGGCGAGGCAGACGCCTCAACAAGACTGATGGACTCACAATGACAGCCGGAAGAAGGTACATTTGTGGCTTCCATTTCTACCGAGCCTGAAATTGGCACCGCACTCGCTGTATCCATTTGTGCCCTTCCGCCTACTTTAAAAATGGACAAAAACAGATGTGACCCAGTGGTCCAACAAGTGTCACACTATCACCGAACACGTTGGCCATCGCCAGTATCAGACAACATTCAATCTTCATTCTATTGAGGATTTTATCTATCTCAAGTCGATGTTTGTCTTCTCTTTGGTGAATGTGTTATAATACCAGCCAAATAGCACGCACGAGTACTAAAGCAGTGTAGTTTTGGACACCCAGGCATCGACCGTATGAAAACCTCGGCGCGAAGTTGTATACTGGTCGGGTATGGACAAAGAGCTAGAACTTGTGCAGTCCCGTTCAAAATGTCAACGTCCTCCAAAATCGCCGCGGTAGACTAGGTTATCTTCGTGACCTGGACCAATTCGTAGTTACATCAAGCACCGCATGGTTAACGTCATTTACAAAGTTGGCGTACAGTCTGCTGCATTGATCCATCGCGGACACGATGCACCACTCACCTCAGATAACTCAATCTCGCTCTAAGCTGTAACACCTCCTGGTGCCTAGCTGCCATGCTACCCGAAGGAAGCACGAGGGCTGGAATACAGTCAGGTTGCCCAAGCCTAGACGGGGGAAGTCGGCAGAAGTCGGATTCGAACCAGGAACCTTCCGGTCAGTAAATTCGCGCTCTAACCACTTGAGACATCTCGCCCCCAGATAACTCAATTCCCTTTGTGCAAACAGGCAATCCTCCAGTCGAATCCGTATGCGCACCAAGACAGTGGTCCAGCCGTAGCACAAAACCATTCACACCAATGCAGGTGACTCCACACCTGAAAGCCTACACACAACTTGAAACAGGTGTTAGGGTGGTCAGACACTAACGAACAACTCGGCCTTTCGTAATATTGCACTGAGATTCCATTTCCTCTCTGTTGTGACCAACTAGACCGAATCGCTTCTTCTTCCATTGGCATATCCTCAATATAGCTGATCACCAAACAGTGCCCTTTGTCTTCTTTATTGAAGTTTTTTAACCCCTCAAAAAATCGAAATCGTTCAGCTTCACGGTGCCTAGCTGCCATGACCCGGAGGAAGCAAGATGGTTGGGATACTGCCATGTTGCCCACACCTAGACAAGGAGAGTTGATGAGGAGGTCAAGTTCAAAACACGAACCATTCGGTCAGTAAATTCGCATTCTAAACACTGAGGAATCTCGCCCGTTTCCCACTCAAGTATGTAGACTATTATACGCGATAGAATAAGTTCCATCAACCACCTAAATCACCCAGCTAACAGTCACAACATAGTCAATCTGGTTCCTGGTAGTTTCGTTGAAAAGTTTCCGAGGACCGGTCGAACGAATCAAGTAAATTTGCCAGAGACTGCTGGAACATAAGTCGCTGGATTTTGAAACCGCATACGACCATGCAAAGTCCCTCGAACTAGCGCAAAAACAGTCGTTATCGTTTTTACCGAACACTCAACTCCTGTGCCACCGTATCGAACGACCCGCCAAAGTCTCCACGTTCGAAAACGTCATCGCACGAGCAGGCGACTGCTGCCAGGGTGGGGTCTTCATGTTTCTTCTGTGGCTGTGCTCGTCACCCGAGATATAAATGCCCCGCTAAAGATGCGACCTGCAAAAACTGTGGGAAGAAAGGGCGTTTTCAAAAGGTATGCAGATCTACTGGTCCGCGGAACACCTCATTTGTTTCATGTGCGCTATCTTGTGTCACTGCAGCGGCTCCCGAGTGTCTAAAAGAAGCAGTCACCGATGTGAAAGCCAATGGTTCCCGCTTCGAGCTCTTGTTGATACTGGTAGCTCAGAAAGTTTCATTTCCGAAAAGGTAGTCCGTTGTAACAAGTGGTCTGTACTACCATCATCATCTGAAACAACTTTGGCATCTATCCAGCACAAAAGCTTTACTCTTGGACATTGCTTTTTAACAAAACAAGTATCCCTCTTTCAAGTTTTCAGTATTACGTGACCTCTGTGCAGATATTTTGCTAGGACATGACTTTCTTAAGCTTCATAAGTCCCTGGAAATCTCATTCAACGGTGACAAACCTTCTTTTTCCCTTTATGGTCTAATTGCTGCCAAAATTGAACCTCCCACTTTGTTCGAGCATATTGACCCAAGGTGCCAGCCAATCGCCATAAAGTCCAGGCGACATCTTCGATTCCTTAGACTTTTCGAGTCCACCAAGCTTCGTGGTCTGTACCGAAATTCAGTTTTACCTTGCATCGAGTGATGCGTCGGGTTAAGTTATGATTGCGGCCAGGAGTATTCTGTCACCAGGCCTCCAGCAAAGTCACGTTCCTAGTGGAAATCCAATGTTTAGATGAGGTTGGCTGGGTATTACAAAAAACACAAGTTCTAACTGAGTAGCCCTGCGAATATCTGTTGCCAGTGCCCATTGATATCCGATATAGCAAGTTCGGGCAGATTTTCGAGGAGACAGTTCTGAAAGTTCCTCTTGATTTCTGGGTTCATTAGCTTCTCACTGGCTAAATAAGGCACGTAAGTTTTGTGTAGATCTGAAAGGTGTAATGAAAAGCAGTAGCGCACAAGTACACGGTGGGAGTCCACGCTGGTGTCCCAAAAGGAGAGGCAGACAGTGATAGGCCCACCCAACCGGTAACTGACGGTAATGTGGTTTATTTAGATTCGTGACTGGTTCGTTAGTGGGAATCACACCGTCAAACGATTCCCGTTGTTCCGGAAATCGGTACGGCACAACAACAGTCTGCGATTTCCGTCGCCAGTGCGTCTCGTAACCAATTCAAGGCAACCACCCAATAGGGCCTCAGCAGCGCTTGGTCTACCTCCCTGGAGCTTCATGTCACCACCAACCACAACGATGTCTGAGCATTTAATCTGTAGTAAAAAGTACATAGAGTCACGGAAACTGTTTTAGCAGATTCAGGGCCAATACGTTGGAGCGTAAGGAGACGCAATAAACAGGTTGCGATAGGCTTCACCTTCTGGAGATTCTCTCACAGACGTTGCCAAACAGACATCGCAGAGGCAACTATTAACGGGCATCCAACCAAGTGAATATGCTTTCGCTCGGTCGCACAATACAATACCCACCCTGGTATATTTGGCCGCAGCGGCCTATGTATGGCAAGAGGTGCACAGCCGGAACCTACAACAGGGCGAAAGGACAGTCAGTTCAATCACAGTACTTGCATTCTGCATACATCAATGCATTACGGCAATGAAACATCGGTACAGCAGTGAAGCATCGGTGTTGAACAGTGATGTCATGCTGTCGATGATGATGATGTTGATGGTGGTGATGATGATGATGACATCAATGCATAGGCAATCCACTGAGCAAGCGAGTCACCTATTGTCCTGTGTGCTTCACAATGCGAACATTGACGGCAGCCAAAAGGGCCGGCTATCGGGGTTTGGCGAGACTTTGAGACGCTTAGGGTCGTCACTGAAGTCGGACGTACAGAACATGCAACTGAGTGTGATGCACTGTCAACAATGCGGTCAGTTCTAGTGTTGGGATTTGTGGAAAGAGTATTCAAACTTGGGTGGGGTGGGGTAGAGTAGAAGAAAAACGAGGCGTAAGAAAGGAGGCGGCAGAAGTAGCATGTTTTCGCTTACTTGCTCTGCTGTATACAGCAAGCAAGGGGACCAGGCTGGTGCACCACGCGACGGCCGATCTGCCATGGGAGTATCGTTAGTGGCATGGTTGGATACTACGCACTGCCAGGGACGATTAGGGTCCTTAAAGAAAGCCTTCGGCTTAAAAGCCAGGGATATTTGGCGGGAAATGCAAGTGCACTACTGTTATCATAGAACAGGTCACCCCACGTTCCAACTGCCTACCTGGGGGGCCAGGAAACTGTTAGTCAGAACTCTAACGATTGACTAGCCAAGTATGGGTGACTCTGGGTGTCGTACGGACGCCACCCAGTATAGCTTAGGGAGGCACGCGAACCGTCAGATCACGGTAAAGTTCAGTCTATTTGTGAGAATATTAATGCGGCATCCAGCCTCTCCCATGAGAATGATGAATGAATAAATGTTTCATAAACACAGTTCCCTAGCTATCCGTGTTGGGAGATTTGTTAGAAGGACTGCCTCTATACTGACAAAACCGCTTTCCTAACGATTGCCTCGCATACTGAAACCTTATTTCTACGTTCCAGCCTCTTAGTGGATCCTATTGGAATGCTAACTCTGTTTATAATCTGGTTCAGTTTAATCCCACATTACTGAACGATCCACTTGTTTTGAGTACAACTTTCTCGAAGTTGTCCATTCCGGTGAACTAGCTGAAACATCATAGGAAAAAACCGTGGTGGAACGTTCCTGGAAAGCTGGACAATTGTGGTGATCTTAAGCAAACCGCAGCTAACTTGGCCAGGTGAAGATCCTGGTCCTTTAGGACACAGCAATATATCAAATTGCAATATCAGCATTTTCAACTGCAACAACAGGTTGTACAGTGGACCCAGCTGCCGAGGAAAGTTGAAAGAGGAAGGTAATGTCTGACACAGCAGATGAAAGAAGCACACCGTGGACCTCCACGGATCAAAGGAAGTTGGCTTACAGCACCCGCTTACAGAACACCACAAATTAAACAAACCAGTGTACACCCATAGGGGACATGATGGCCCAAGTGGTTGGAGCACGAATTTACTGACCGGTAGGTTCGTGGTTCGAACCCGACCTCTGCAACTCGACTTCCCCTGTCTAGGCCTGAGCGACCTGGCAGTATCCCAGCCCTCGTGCTTCCTCCGGGTGGCATGGGAGCTAGGCACCGGAAGGGTGTTACCGCTGAATGGTTAGATTATATTTTATATGTATACCCATATTAGTATCCGTCGCGAATTGACCTCAGCCGGGGCGCACTGTTCGATGCATACCACATGCGCGAAGACAACCACTGACAACTCCGATATCCGACCCGACCTCTTCAACTTGACTTATCCTGTCTAGACTTGGGTATCCTGGCAGTATCCCAGCCCTTCTGCCTCCTTTGGATGGCATGAAAGCTAGGCACCGAAGGGGTGTTACAGCTCAGCGATTTATTAATCGTGTTCTCTGCCAACTTACCTCCCTCCCTATTCAAGGATCTTATTTCCCCACAATCCAGCTATAGGCGTCTTGGTCAGCCAGCCAGGTTAGCGGCCCATCGCATGATACCCCAGGGATGCCCCCCAATTCCCAATATTCAATTCCAGTGGCCAAATTACGTCCCTCAGTTTGTACCTCCACCTTCCACCATCGAAACCTTGGGCAAGTGGGCAAACAACATGTTGTTATGTGCCATGGCTATCTGGACCACAGCTATGACAACTGTTGCGCAGATGTTTGTACGGCCACAGGTTCGACCCCTGAATGCAGAGTAGGGCATTCTCCGTTGATTGGATACCTGTAAACTCTCATCCCTTGGCGGCTCATCAGTCCACTGCCTTCCGAATGACATATACACGCACTTTCCGTCATTTAGAGGAAAAGGCCAGTTCAACGACCACCAGGTGATAACCTTATTCAGTTGGTTTATGTGCAATAAAATTGTTTTCAAGTTTTTGTTTTGGTTGCACTCTGTATTTACCAAGAGTTCACGGTTTCATTGTACAATCTCCGGTGGCTCGCAGTTTCTGTGTGCGCGCGCTGTGAGCGTTGTCGACAAACCAGTGAAACCTAAAGCACCATCCAGCGACTATATATAATGGTCGCAAATGAGGTATTAGTCGTGCAGGTTCAATTTGTATGAGACGAATTCGTCTCATTGGTTAACCAACGAGATGGTTTGAGGTCTTGGTAATAGCATCAGTCACCTTCGCTGGAGAAGCGTAGGTCGAGCATATTTCCACTCGGAATAATCTGTTTAATAAGAGCACCTCAACCAAGCGTACAACTTCCCGTGAATCCCGTAAGACTTGAGTTTGTGGGGCAGCGGGACGTCTGGCTGTGCTGCGTGAGAAGGACTTTGAAGTGCATGTGAGAGGTCAGGTAATGACAAGTTTGTTTACAAGCTCTAAGGAGTTCATAAAGGTGTTACAATACCTTCCACGCGGCTTGGCTGGACGGGGCGGGAAGCCCCGAGCCAAATTGCTGAATCTTGATTGGCCTATATTCCCACCAATAAGAGTACGAGCCCCTTTAACACGCAACCGGCTCGCGGCGGGCCCTCAGTATTCGCACAATGGAACAGTACAATACGCAATAAAATGCAACTTTTTGGCGCTGAAAGTTTTACTCCACTCACGAAGGTGTTCAGCTGAGAGCACTGTGCGGTCAACGGGCCCGGCGTTTCGGTCACGAACAGGGCCCGAAATGGTGTTGCAGGGCCTCCAAGCACAACAGAGTCCCTGAGGATTCGAAGATGGTTGGAGAAATTATCTAAGAAAATTGTTTTGTTACCAAGAGAAGCGTAGCTGATGTGTAGCTGTGGAGTGGGAGAGGAAAGTAGCAGAGAGTAGGGTGAATTTTCAGGTGGTTGGTTGCAAAGGCAGGTGAATTATGCATGCCTCACACGCATCACCGGCATGAAAGGTTCCTAAATAAGGATGGGGCTTATCTATGTCCTTATCCACTGCAGTCGACATGCACATGATCACGTGTAGAAATTGGAATTCAAAGCGGACCGCATGTTGAAGTTTCGTGCTCATATTTTACATAACCGCTCGCCAGTACGTAGGCAGCGGAGCACGAGGGGGCTGGGCGTTGATTGTCCACTGCGAGAAGTCCGGAGGGCCTTTGCCGAAATTGATATGGAACGCTGCGTTTCAATTTGGCAAACTGCTCACGACTAAGGCATGTGGAATTACAGATGTGCATGTCATCCTTCTTTGCTCACTCATATCTTCTCTCACCCAACCATTCAAACACAAACAATGGGGGCCACGGATTCACGGATTCACGGAATGATACACAGGATCGAGGCTTTTGCCCAAGTTTCACAGGTCACTTTTGTTCTTCTCGGTCAGTGGCTGTCGCTCACCTGAAAGGCGCAAGTGAAGAAAGGGTGTAGCACTGATCTTTGTGTTCTTAGCGCGGGGCAGTATGCATGCCAGTGCGAGGATTCGCATATATAAATGTCTAATAGTGTTTTAAACTGGGTTCTAAAAGCAGCGTGAACAGCCGACAGAGGAAGTTCATTCCACGCAAGCACTACCCGAAATGAGATAAAATTTTGTCTGATGAATGTGTGTGCCCTGAGCTTGAAAAAAGTTTCTTGCTATGTCCCCGCCGTGTGTTCTCTGGGTCAACGGTAAAAAAAACCTCGCGTAAGTAAGAATTAGGTCCCCTCGGAGGCGACGGTACTCCAGGGGAAAGAGATCAAGCATCGCGAGACGCGTTTCGTCGTCCACGGATTTGAGGCCGGCAACCATTCTTGTGGCGGCCCGCTGGGCACGCTCAATGAGGGTAACGTCTTTCGTACGTCCTGAGTAGACAACTTGGTTGGCGTACTCCAGGAGCGGTCTGACGTAGGCCCCATAGAGTATTTGGAAGTCCATGCGAGTAATACGGGAGAAGGTACGTCGGATCATCCGTAAAACGGCGAATGCCTTTTGGGTCGATTTCTCATGGTGTAGTGAGAAGGACAAGTTTGAGGAGACCCAGATACACAAATCGTTTTTGGCATCTATCCTCATAATGTTTTCTGGTCCCTTTTCACCATGCATAAAAAAGGCATTCGCTGAGTCTCCTCCAAACGACATGCGGATGCACTTTTCATCATTCAGAGGAAGGTGCCAGTCCAACGAACACTGCTTGGCAGCGTCTACATCCATTTGGAGGGCATTGGCATCGGAACTTTGGGATTTCAAGTCGTCCGCAAAAAATAGACATGGACTTGCAGGTCGTTGACGGAGATAGACACAGGAGTGGTCCCAGTACGGAGCCTTTTGGAACTCCGATGGAGACCGGCGCTGGAGAAGAGTAGGTCGAACCTATTCTCACTCAAAATGATCTGTCAGATAGGAACGCCTTGATCCAGCGGAGGATTTCCCCTGAATCCCGTAAGACTCAAGTTTTTAGAGCAGCGGGACGTGTGAGACCCTATCAAATGCTTTTGAGAAGTCGAAATATATGACATTCGATATGAGTCATTCGTCCTTGGCTTGGGTTAAGCTGTCCATAAACACGAGCATGTTTGTCACGCGAGAACTGTTTGGGAGAAATCCGTGGTGAGCTGGAGATATCATATTGCTGGAAGTAAGATGATCTAGGATAGCTCGCTTCAGAATGCGTTCCATCACCTTGCACGGCACGCTAGTTAGGCTTATAGGCCTGTTGCTGTCAGGCGAGAGTCGGTCACCAGTTTTGTAGATTGGCGTGACCATCGCTTCCTTCCAAGCAGAAGGAAGACGGCCTTCGTCAAGCGATTGACGAAACACCAGGTGTAAATGATTCGCCAGTGTGGAGGACGTTTATTTCGGGACCCTTGGATGGACCTCGTCGGGCCCTAACGCGCAGAATGGGTTGATCTATTGCAAGAGGACGCTGGGGCTGAGTATAGACACGCACAGTGTTCTCTGGGTCATTCGTCTGTTCTGCATTTCTGTTCCTCAAGAATGAGGCGGATGGCTTGTTTCTGCGGCGATGCCTCATGTATTTGAACAAGCTGCTTTTGTTTTTTCGAGCGAGGTCCAGAATGGTGGCTTGTTGTTGTATGTTCCATAAGCGGATTTCTGATTTACAGCGGTTCCACATCTTACGAAATGCCAGCTCATCTTCTGTATCCCCTGTAGTCAACTTTTTGAAAAAGAGTTGGGATATTTTTTCCAGAAGTCGCCGAATCCTTTTTTCCTGCCTGCGGTCCATGCGAGCGCGTGCTGGTTCTTCTGGGACGATCGTCGCGTCAGCCCCGTGAACTTTCTGGACAATGGTCCTATATGTTCTTCCGCTGGAGCTGGTCCCAGCGTGATTTGTTCAAGGACGATGCGAATTCCTGAGAAGTCTGCACGGCAGAAGTATCGAAACCACGATTGAGGTCCGGGCTTTCTGGCTCAATAGCAGGTGAAATCAAAGGTCAGCACACAGTGGTCGCTATGCCCCAGCAGAGCGTTAATTGTTATCCGATCAACGAAGTGTCTTTCTTTGGTGATGACCAAATCCAGGAGGGATGGTAGTTGGCCTGCGCTGTATCTGGTGGGTGCAACGACATGTTGAGTCCAAGCGCTGTGTTGAACGACTTCAATCAGCGCCGCTGCATAAAGTCCGCCTGATTCGACGCGCTGGAGTTCCGTCCAGGAGGCCATTGGGGCGTTGAAGTCACCTGCCAGCAGGAGATGAGTGAAGCGGTAGTTGGGGGAGAGTTGCTCAAGGGATTGTATGAGGAATCGGTCATCTTCATGAGGACTCAAGGGGCTACGGTTGGCCACACCGAGAAGGAGGGAATCGGACCCGCGTAGAGGGAGTTGGACCCACAGTGCATCACAAAAGGTCACGGGGGTGGTGTCAGAGAGGACATTTGGGATTGGTAGGGCCGCAGGGCAACCCCACATGCTCGCCCTTGTTTTGATTCGGCTCGGAAAATAGAGTAACCGTCTATCGAGATCTCCGCGACAGAGACACTTGGTGTGAGCCGAGTCTCTGTGAGTGCGGTTATGGACGGTTGTTCAAGACAAGCTGACTGTTTAACATCGCCGAGTTTCTTCAAAAGGCTGAGGCAGTTTGTGGACAAGCGTTTGAACCCCATCTCCGCAGCCTCCGAGGGTGAGGAGCCGAAAGTTGAGTGACCAGGTTGGTCACCAGACTTAATAGTTGCGCGCCGGTTTTGAGTCCAGGGCTCCGAAGGGGCCTCTGGGGCGGCGTCGTCTGCTTCCTGTCTTCATGGTTTTTGAGGGTGCTTTTCGCTTGCGAGGTTCTTTTCGTTCCGTGGGAGCCTCGTTTGCTCGGGCCTTTTGGCTTTGGGGGACGAATTTATTTCCGCGTGGGCGAAAATTTCGATCATTGCTGTTTGTAGCTCTTTCAGCACACTCAATTTGGTGACCAGATTTGCCGTTGATCAAAGATTAGCGGTGAGCTTTCGCCTTCCTGGATTCTTGGGTATTTTGGCGCGGTTTGGCCGGAAAAGTGTCTCTGTGTGGCCCTGGGCGCTGGGTGGCGGCACCACAAAGTAATGATTTTGGTGGCGCTCCCAAGAGGCTCGTTTTCGCGGAGGACTGCACCTTGAAGCCAGCTAGCAGTTTTCTAATCTGGCGATTTTCATGTGGCTTGTTTGGCTGCAGTCGCTCTTCTTTCGCGTTTGTTTTTTACACCCGATCCACCAGCAATCAGTGTGGCCAACTGGATGTACGAGGGATTCTCCGGATGGCTGTAGTCATGTTTGTCTTAGGTTGTCGGGGTCCTGGGCGACGGTTGTGTCAACAAGGAGAGAGGCCGCTTTTGATTGAGTGGAGCTGAACATCGGCTTCGCTGCTTGTCCCCGTACATCTGACGCAGTACAGTCCAGAGACTGTGGCTTTGTTGAGGAGTGCATGGCTCCAGCTGTAACGGAGATAAGCGTTGATAGCTCCACGTACTTTGGGCGCTGCCTGCATGTGAGGTTGGCGTCCTCCAGGGCACCACTGCTTTTGGTGGGCGAGAGTCCTGTGGTGGTCGAATAAAAACTGCTGTCCGAGAGGCAGGTTGGTTTCGTCGTCTGCTTTCAGCACAGGGGGATATGACCACAATCGGCTTGGTCGTGAGTTTGGGGAAGGATGAGTTTGTGCCCAGCGGAAGCCCGTTTCGTGACTCCACCCCTGACCTGTCGTAACCGGGCTTTCGCGCGTCTAGCGGGCGATCCTCAGATAGACGCCTGACCATTGGGTTGGCCTTCTGAATGCTGCCAGGCCGTTTCAAGATCAGATGGAGAAGAAATATTGACGAGAAGTCCAAGCGTTCGCTTGCTTCCCTTCTGGCGTAACCATTATGCATGGAGCGGTTGGTCGGGCTTGGTGAGGATATTTCTAGGGATTGATTGTGCCAGCTTCACTGGCGTGGTTTTTCCGGTGAATGAGCCCCAGATTATCAATCTTCTTTCCCTTAGGCGCCTGCCCACTAGAGACGCTGTCGCGGTCTTTGTAGCCGCGCCAGAGAGTTGTATTACTTTCTTCGCAACCATAGGGCCCGGTATGGATATCGCGAGGTATTGGTTCAGCAAAGAAATTTCCTTGTTAACTTTCGTCCAGGTCGCTGCATTTTTAGCTCCTGAGTCCTCCAGTGCCTTTGAAAGACGCCCTAATTTCGCGTCGAGTATCCCGATTAAAGCAAAACACTGAGAGTGGTTTTTCTGAATCTGCGCTGGGGATTGGGTACCGTTTTGGGGGCTCTCCTCTTCGCTGAGATATGCATTGCATCCTTAACGTAGAGGCAGCTGGCGCAGACAAACGGGTCAGGTGAGTTAGCTAGTCGGCTTATCTGGTCGTCCTGTAAACCCGTGCATTTGGAATGCCACCAGGCCTTGCAGGTGTGGCATTGCATCCCGCGTTTGACCTTCGACTGGCAGCCATTTTGCCCACATCTATTGTGGTCTATCAATGGCTGCAGAGGGCAATCGTTATAAATTGATGTCATGTTTCGGACTAGATGTAAAATAGGAAGTGTGCGCAAAATATCAAGGGTTATCTCTCAACTGTTTTGTTAGAGTAATAAAATGCAACAATCACTCGCGTGTACTCTGTGAATGGATTGAAAAACGAAAATCTTCTTTCACGAATTTGCAGGAGGGAGGAACGAAACCGACTTCGAACATACCGCGCGACAGATTTTCATTGTGCTGCTTAACGTAACGGGCCTCCCACGGCACTTCGCAATGATGGTGGAGCATCTTTGCTTTTGTCCTAAATGGCTTGCTTTCGAGGACAAGAGTGCGTTCCAGGCATGTAAGCCAACCGACCATCGTTCCAATGCAGCTGTCGCAATCGTAGAGCTATCCGCTGGACTCCCGTCCATATCAACTGTCCGCTTCTAGAATACTGCAGCGTCTATTCCTGGCACATTGATACAAATTCAGAAGCTGAATGCATTGGCCAAGTTTTCTCATTAAGTTTGCCACTAAACAGCATCGCATTTCGCTGGTAAATAAATAAATGACTCGTTCAAAATGTTGTATATAGCTACTATAGCGGTTTCTTCATCATATTATCTGATCTCCTGCAAAACATGCGGCTCGCTCGTCCCCATTATGCATGCTGTGCATGTTACTCCTGGACCTTCATCGTCTTCTAATCCAGCTGAACTCTTGTGATACATCATAGCACTCCAACTTTGCCCACCTACATAGGCTTCAGTTAGTTGCAGACTACCTCACCGTTCACTAGGGTTACTAAAAGCAACTTAGGTTAGTCGGATCTATACACCTCCACCCTTGCTGCTCGCAATTCAAGGGATGAAGCGAAAAGGTGGTGTGCGCGGCTAAGCAAGCAACATTCGTGTCGGAGATAATTTAAGTGCCGTCTTTAAATAATCGCCCTGAAATCGCTGTAGATGTCTTTCACCGCGAATGTCTTAGTGGGGCGATATTTTGAGCTTACTGAGGTCCAAACTTGATATTCAGGGGCAGTGAGTAAAAATGGTTAGGCTTGAGAGTTTCCGCCCCCTCAGAGGCCAGTCTACTGCAGCCAAAAATGGCGCGCACCGAAAAGCGATGCAAAAATTAATCAGACGAGCGCAAAGTGGTCGTTCAACTCTTGTCGCTTCTCTGGTCGTTGGTTTATCTGGCCTTGGACCCTGATATTAATATGTTCAGTGCGATTTCTGCCGGTAAGTTGGGCGTAGCCATGTGAGTCTGCTCCGAAGAGTAGAATAATCACTGTTCTTGGATCCTGAATCTTTGCAGAGGGGGTCTAGTCGAGGTCAGAGGGTGGCATCGCTTCTTGAAATTGACGAAAATTGAAAAGTTAAAGACAGGTCGTTGGAAAGACGACAGTTGTCCGAAAATGAGGGAAACTCATCCCAAAGACCGGGTTTAGATGGTTTCATTCTGAAAGATTGTTACCTCTGCTGAGAAATCATTCAGCGACTCGCTGTTCAAAAGTGGCACCGCTTTTCATGGATTCACGGGTTGACACACAAGATCGAGGCTTTTGCCTAAGTTTGCCGGCGCGGTTTTGTCCCTGTCTTCTAGTGGTTATCGTCCGCATGAAGGCCACAAGTAAAGAAAGGGTGAAGCAATGTTTTTTATGTTCTCAGCGCGGGACAGTTTGCTCGCCAGCACGAGGACTGGCATAAAAAATGTCTAATTGCGCCTTTAACTGAGTTCCAGGTGGAGCGTGGACAACCGTCTAAGGAAGGTAATTCGACGCAGTTACCACCCGAAATGTGAAAAAATTTGCCTAATGAAAGCGTATGCTATAAGCTCAAAAATATTTTTACCCTGTCCCGGCCGTGTGCTAGCTGGATCAATGGCGGGAAACCCATCGACAAAATCTCGTTTAAACAGAGCACCGCCACCTCCTCGGAGGCGATGCTACTCCAGACGGAGGGGTCAGACAATGTGAGACACGTTCCATAGTTTACGAATTAAAGGCCGACAGCCGTAGCAGCTTGTTGAGCACGCCCAGTTAGGGCTACGTCCTTTCGGCGTCCTTAGCAGACAACTTGGCTTGCTCATTCCAGGAGCGCTCTGACGTCGGCCCCATAAAGTATTTGGAAGTCCGTGCGAGTAATACGGGAGAAAATACGGCGAATGATCCGTGGAATGGCGAATGGCTTTTGGGTCTATCTTTTACGGCGAAGTGAGAAGGACATCTTTGAAGAGAGCCAGACACACAAATTCTTCTTGGCACCTATCGTCTTGATGTCTTCTGGTCGTTTCTCACTATGCACGGTAAGGGCATTCGCCGAGTCTCCACCGAATGACCCACTGGCACAATTTTCCCAATTCAGAGAAAGGTGCTAGTCAAACGGCCCTGGCCTTCCAGCATCTACATCCATTTGGTGCGCAATGGCACCAGAACTGTGGGAATTCAAGTCGTCCGCTGATAATAGAGCTGGACTTGCTAGAATATATGGAAGTTTGTAGACGTATATCAGGAGCACCCGTGGTCCCAAAGCGGAGCCTTGGGGAACGTCAATGGAGACCGGCACTGGAGTGGATTAGTTTGAGTCTACTGTCACTTGCTAGGAAAGCCTTAAGCCAGGGTACAATTTTCCCTTTAATCCCGTAAGACTCGAGCCTGTTTATGCTACATCAGGACTTGTGAAACTAGATCAAATGGTTCTGCCAAGTCAAAGAATGTGGCCTCTGTTATGGATTTCTCGTCTTTGTCTGGGGTTAATCTGTCCATAAACACAAACATTTCTGTCGCGCAAGAATGGTTTGGGAGAAAACCATGTTGAACTTGAGATATCAAGTTGTTGGATGTAAGGTGATCTAGGATGGCTCACTTCAGAATGTTTTCCATCACCTTACTGCGCACGCCTGTGAGTCTTACAGACATGTGGCTTCTAGGCGATAGCCTGTCACCAATTTTATGGGTTGGCTTGACAGCCGCTTCCTTCCAAGCAGATGTCTTTCGTCAAGCGACCGACGAAACGCAAGGTATAAATGGTTTGCCAGTGTAGCCACGTTTCTTACAGGATCATTGGATGAAACTTGTTGGACCCCAACTCGCAAAATGGGTTGATCATGTGCAGGAGTTAACGAGTGTTTACTACCGTGAAGACCCAGTTGGTTAAAGGCCGTTCATGGCAACGCTTCGACAAGAATGGGTGTGACGAGGACGCCGGGTCTGAATATAGACCTGCACAATGTTCTCTGTAGACCTCAGATACCATCACCGTGTCATTCGTGGGCTACTAGTTCCTGTCCCTCAAAGAGACCGCAGACGGCTTATTTCTCCGGCGGTCTCGTGTGTTTAAATGGGATGTTTTTAATTTTCAGGCAGGTTCTGGCATAATGACTTCATTTCGTATATTCCATTGGCGAATTTCTGGCTTACAGCGGTTCCGCATTTTATGACATGCCAGCTGACCTTGTCTTTCCTATAGTCAACTTTTTGAAAAAATAGTTGAAACCCTCTATCCAAAAACGCTCAACCCTTTGAGGTAGTTTGCGGTCTATCCGAAGGAGCTGGTACATTGGGACCAACACGGCGCGTGCCTTTTTAGCTTTCTGGACAACGGTCCTGTATAACTCTTCAAATGAATCGGTTCCCAGTTCAACCTGTTCAAGAAATCTTTCTTTCTTTAACAAGTACATTCTGAAAGGTCTACAAGGATAAATTTCTAATCAGCGTTTGAGGTTCGGGATTTCTGGCCCAACAGCAAACGAAATTAAAGACCAGTACACAATAGTCGCTATGTCCCAGTGGGGTGGTAATTATCACCTGATCAACGAAATGTCTACCGCATGTGATGACCTAATCCAAGAAGGATGGTTGTTGACCCGCGCGTTATCTGATGTGTGCGGCATGTCGAATCTAAGGGCACTGTTGAACGACTTTGGTCGGCGCCGCTACAAAATATTCCATTAGGACCAACCTGCTGGAGCTCCGTCCAGGAGGCCTTGGTGGCGGTGAAGTCACCTACCGGAAAGTGACTTGTAAGGTGGTTGCTAGAGAAGAGGTTGCTTAAGGGTTAATGTGAGGAACTGGTCACCCTCCAGAAAACCCATGAGGGCACGGCAGGCCACTCCGAACAGGAGAGAAATCATCTAGCGCAGCGGTATATTGATCCACAAAGCATCGCGAAAAGTGTTGTCGGAGAGGATAGTCGGAATGTACAGGACCGCATGTAAATGAAAAGAAACCCAACCCGCTCTCTCTCGTTTTGAGGGAGCTAGAAAAATGAATAGTCGTCTATCGAGACCTCCGTGTCCGAGGTATTTGGTGTGAGCCAAGTCGCTGTGAGCGCGATTACGGACGGTTGTTCAAGACAAACTGACTGTTTAATATCCCAATGTGTTGAAAAGACTGAGTAGTTCGTGGGCAAGCACTTCAAAACCGTCTTTACGGCAACCGAAATTGAGGAGGTATGCAACCAGAGAAGTTAGAGTATTTATTAGCTGTGCACCGGGTTTGTGGATACTCAATCGGGGCATGCGCGGCATACGTTTCTGCCTTCTGTCTTGGTGGCCCCGAGAGCTGTTGTTTATTTGCAACGATTTTCGCCTCGTGAGATTCCGGTTTGCGCGAGTCTTTTATTTTTAGAGAAGGTAGCGGAAACTTCGACCGCCGATTCCCGTAGCTCGCTCAATATCGCATTTTTGGACGATTTGATTTACTGTTTTACAAGGATTTGGGTCAGACATGCGCTTGTTTGATTTCTCAGCTTTTGGCACGGTTTGTTTCATAGGGTTTTGCCGTGAGGCCCTTAGCGTTGAGCGCCAGCACCAGGCGGTATGCCGACCACAAGTTGGGAATAAACATTATTATTATTATTATTATTATTATTATTATTATTATTATAGGTTTGTTTTCGCAGAGGAGTGCACCTTGAAGCCAGCCAATAGTTTTCTAATTTGGCGTATCTCGTGTGGTTCGTCTGACTTGGG